AAAGATTGATGGGTTGTGTGAAGGATGATGATGGAAGAGGGGCTTATATTTGGGATATCGTGTCGACTAAGAATAATGGGATGAGGACTAGGTCAAACAAGTTGTCACAGGAAAAAAGTTATCTGTTATTATTAATGTTTAGCAGTTTTCTACCATATGTATAATATCATATATTATACATATGTTGTTTGCTCAATTTTGACATATTAGAATCGTCAAAATATAACGGTTTAAGAAATTCGGCAATGTATAAAGTTTCATGCACATATTTTTACTAAAATATTCTTTTATTTAGTTCATTGCAGTAGTGCAGACTCATTTTTAGCATTTTATTGTTTTTAAGTCAGGTTTTGTTTCGGTGGTTCAAGTTTCTCTTTATAATATGTTTCTCTTTTGGCATTTATTTCAAATATTCGTAAAATAACAGAATGTTGTAAACATTCTTATATACTGAATGAATCATAATGTTATTCGATATTCAAAAACAAAAAAAGACTCAAGAAACGTTTTTATTAATACAAAGATTGTAGTTTCTGAGACTCACAATTGTAGCAACGATGTAGAAGTTTCTTGACCTGTACCAATTGATATTTCACGGAAAAGAGAAAATAACATCGCCATATTTCACATTCGTTAAAACAACAAAGTAACGTCGCATGACTCAAATAGTATCCTGCACGTTTAATGGAATATCAAATTAGAACTAGGGCTCCAGTAATAAAACCATCGAACATTGAAACATCTCTATAATATTTCCCAGTAAAATATGACATAAACTTATGATTCAGTATTTGGCCACCGTCCAACAGATGAATCGAGTGTACGTTCAGTGTTTATTGTGTAATGTCAGATTATCTTGTTTTGATGATTCGTATGCATCGATTAAGTGATCCACTGCATCGATTAAAATTTTTATAGTAATAATATATATATTTTTAAATAAACAGTCGGGACTTGACGCGATGAAAAAGCTTTCACTGGTAAATAGTACATACAACATACCTGCTTCTTTATTGCCAACGTTTTACGTTAAGTCCCGATTGTGTATTTAAAAATATGTGTAAACACCGCGAAAAGTTTGAAATTAACTATTGTAATAATATATGTTTCTAAAAATAAGTTACATTTGATAATATGTTACTGTAATAAAGTGTCAGCTCTCTTTTTCATCAGGTGGTCACTTTTATCTAGATAGAGTATTCTTGCCCAGTGATTTTGTTAATAAATTTTTAAGCAAATTCCAAAAAGAAGAGTTTTTCAATTTATCTTTATTTTTTTTTATTGATTTTAAATAGAATTTAATTACATTGATGAAATTGGAATTGAATTATTTAATTATGGAATCTTTACGAAAATTTAGGGATCGACGCCCTCCCCGCTTCTAATTGCTGCGCCCTACAGGGTCTACAATGTACTACATCAATTACTAACATCTTTTAATAATATTGTAGAATGCAATAAATAAATTGAATTGAATTGAATAGTCCCGTAGAGGCCCTATTTTAATTTTGTTACGAAGAATGATTGAAGCAGTCGTTTGTTTTTTTTTTCGAAAAAAAAAACCCGGTTGTTTCAAGGCAAAATCTACTTATAGATGCACGATTTCCAATTCGAAATTCAAATATTTTCAGTCTAATGTGTCTATAAAACCTTTCATTGGTTTTTGATGTTTTGTCCGATGGATGTTACTGTTTTAATTTGAGATGCAAAATATATTTATTTAATTAATAAACTTATATTAATTATAATCAATCATCCGGATTCAAGGATTAGACATATCCTTTCAAAAATTCCTCAGTGCTAAAACACGATTCATGTAGTTCTTATACCTTGTTAATATATGATTCAGTTACTGACCATGACAGTTGTTTCGTACTCACAGCATTTACTTGTATTAGATCATTCCTTATGTTTCTTGACCTTGTTTCTTTGCTCTTTCAAGTGAATATATTATGAGGTCGAAGATCTTACTACTATGCCAATATTTGAATAAATTTACTAGATTTGTTAAAAGTCGCTTAATATGCAAATGTGCTTGTTGAATAGTTATATCTGTATTGTGTATTATGTAATTTTAAGATCTAGTTCCACAAAAATTAACTTCAATTTGATCAATACCAATTAAGTGAACATTTCGATTAATTAAAAGTCTTAGATTGGTAAAATGAAGATATCGTGTAACTTCCACATATTGAGAAGATTCTATTTGAAGTATTGGAGGATTTGAAAGAAAAGCTGATTTATTCATTAATTGATATATCAAGTACACGAAATTACTATGGCTAGAAATATGAAATGTTGACCAAAATAAGTAGATGCAATGAAAAATGCATTTCTGTAACACAACATGTTACAGAAATAAATTTAGATACGTAATCGTAACTAACGAACCCGGCAAAACGAACAAGCGTGCCCCAATAAAAATATAATAAGGGTCAGTTATCGAGATAAAGCTATCCCTAAAGTTTTCTTTCAAATTGGACTAAACAGTACACATTTACAAAATATTGTTAAAATAGAATGGTTTCAGATAACGTATCGACGTATCGTAAACGTACATCGTGACACGTGATGGTTATATATTAATATAAACAGGAATGAAAAGGATGATAAAATTATTCGTGGCGCGCGACACATGTCCATTTTTATCCGCTGGATCCTTGTGACAATTGGTCGAATTAGGGACACAGGCCACGCCGAGGTCATGTAGTCATCAATCACAGATCGGGATGAGGTTGTGGGCGGCAAATGATAAATGCATGGTCAATGTTGTAATTGAATTAGTCTATAATAAAAGGAATGGCCAGTCACAGAAATGTATGCTCATCATGGATCCAAACGTAGAGGTTTTTGAATGAAAATGTAGTAAGACCGCACGTGAAATTGATATAGTCTAGCGAGATGATGATAAGTGAGGATGTAGTTGATCCATTTTGTCGATTTCATCAGGAATTATTGACAACGGTTTTCATTGAAATCGTCCGGAAGTTGATCTGCCAGAGTTTTTTGCTAACATTGTTGTTGCCAGAGTAACAATTTGTCAAATTATGCTTGTCTGGTACTGAACGTTTTAGATAAATAACACGTTTCTTATGTGATGGTTTTAAAGGGTTGTCATTTGGTCTTTAATCCTTTAAGCAAAGCCAGCGTTCCAACATTGGTGCTTAAAATTCGGCACGTAATCCTGCTCGTAGTCTCCTAACGTGCACAAGTCGAACACCAGGAAGCTTCCATATTTCTAAACCGTGCTTGGTGGAATGCGAACAGCGAAAATCCATGCTAGCAATTTTTATAAGTTGTTTTAATGAATGGAATATAATTCTTCGTCAAAATATAAGCCTTTAGTAAATTTAAGTCACTTGATAACATAGTATATGACTTTAAATTTATTGATAGTTTTTCTTTGTTGTTGGTTATAATACCGGGCTTGTTTATTTTTTCTGTAGTCCTGAGTTTCTCAAGCAGTTTTTCATATGTGGTGTGTTAGGCAATCTAAAGCAATTTTTAGCAATCAAATTCTCATTTAGTAATTGTCTCAATGTCGTTGCAATTAATTCGTGCACCAGAGATGTAATGTGTTTATTTGTCTGTGTGGTGTAAGCGTGTGACACACATGAAGCAATTATGAATGGAACAATGTAATAACTACTCGTACGTACCAGTCTTTTATTGGGCACATTTTTGTTCGAGAACTTTTGATTTAGCACTGTTCTTCAGCTAAATTTTAAAAAACTATAATATGACTTATAAAATACAGCGAGCATTCGTGAATTACTCTTTAGTACAAACGCTTATATTTTAAACAATTTATTAGTTTATAGTTTTTGTTTTTATATCATCATTTCAGTCGTTAGTTGTCTATTGTAGAAGATCTGCCTCTGGTGTTGCGAGTGATCATGGGCGGCGGTAATCACTTACCGAAGTGAACCTAATGCTCGTTTGTCCCCTGTGTTATAAAAAAGATGTTAAACATAGGTATTTTTTATACATCACCATAAGTAACATTCCGTTTGGTTTCATTAACTCCATTGTTGTTGTTTCAACCAGTGGGGAGATTTCTACATTTAATTTGCCTGTACGGGCTCGTCCCTTGCAAAACCTTTGTTAATGTAACTCTTTGAAAATTACTTACGATCTCGCTCATAGTGTGAAAATCGTAACTAATTTTCGATACTCTATAATTTTTGCAATTGTAGCACAGGTGCAGTTTTATTTAAGCAATCTCGTTTCTAATCCTGAGGTGAATTATCCATGGAGTTTTACAGAATAGCAACTTGTTTATTGTCAATGTGCAGTGCAACAGATAAAAACTAAATACTGTGATCTATTCTAGACGCGCGACAATAGTCACATTGGTAGTTGCATTCGGTTCCCACGGCTGTTGATTTATACTTCCATTGTGATCTGTCTACATAACCTTCAAACGGATGGAACTGCATACGGCATTATTCTCCAAATTCAGGCAAAAACTAACGGCGCTGGCTTAGTCGAAGAACGCTTTAAGGGCTCAAGATCGTATCGCAGTCTAAACATTTCAAAATTATGGGCACTTGCTCAGTACTTTGAGAGACAACGTAAAACCACGCCAGATGCTTTGTGTTTGGAGGAAATCTAGGAAAACTTGACACGAGGGCACCACCATGATATGAACCTACAGTATGGTAATTGCCTGACAAAAACTGCACAGATGATGGGGTTAATGCATTAATGAGATTATGTTATAAAGGTCAAAAAGATTTTATTGTGAGCGATGCCAATAAATTTGAATGTGACATAATTTTACGAATAATTCATTCGCTTTTCGTAGTATAAGCTTGTTTATAAAAAGATAATGATAATGATCTTTTCAGGATATAAGATAAAAAAAAAAACAATTGATTTCGCAAATTTCTTGTCTCTAATTGTAAGAAAAGTAAACAATCACACATATTTATTTTTTCATTTTACGATCAATTGCGTACTTAAAAATGGAAAATAAACTACATTTTCTCTTATTCCAGGTGTAGAAGGTCGGCAAAATGCCGGAGGGTGTGGCCAAAGAGGCCAAGGACGAGGCCAAAAGCAAGCCTAAGGAGGAGAAGCGGCCGCATCCCGGCAACATCGCCAAGGTCAAGGTCGAACTGCTCGATGGGTCCACCTTAAACTTCGATGTGGACGTAAGTTGAAATTTTTTGTTTTTTTTAGCAAGTAAGATGACAACCCATCTTCCATTCCATCTGAGACCGTGAACATTTTCAACACCAGATGTCAAATAGGTGAAACGTTTGTAAATGATTTATGTATAAAGTCGGATAAATAAAAGTCCCTTGTGAAAATAATCAAGTCAGAAAATTTATAGTAAATCTTTTTTTTTATACAGCTTAGAATGGCAAACAAGCTGACGGCCCACCTGATGGAAAGTGGTAACCGTCGCTTATAGACATGAGCAGTACCATGGACATAACAGATTATACTGTTTCGCTCATGATACCCCCCATGCGTTGCCATTCCTGAGGACTCAGGTGTTATTCCTCTGTACCCAGTAAATTCACGCCATATCCCACCCTTCAAACCGAAACACAGCCATGCAAACACAACTGCTTCACGGTTAAAACATGAATGGGACAGAGGTACCCAAGCAATCGACTTTTGTACAAAGCTAAAGCTACAGAAGATTCGGTGATAAAAAATATATATTCACTGTGTCTTTATGGAATAGGTACAATGAACCGAATACCAAAGCTGTCTATCCGTATATAGACGTCTCTTATATCATCATTGTATATAATTATTATGTTGTAAGCATAAGTTATGGAAATACATAGATACGAGTTGATTCTTCTTCAGAGTGTATACGATCTATCTGATATGTATATAATAATCTCGTTATCGATATCTTTCCACTTTCACAAGTTTAAAAAAGAATTACTATATATCTATACTCATGTCAAGTCAGGCAGCGAGAAAGAAATGCCACTTGCATAATTCGTCTTGCACGCATGCCAATTCCGAAGATGTTTGAATCTTTCTTCGAATAGAACACGGACTAATATAGGTCTAAAATAGAATACTGACAATATAACATAATTTGTGGTGTCCATGATCTTTTTCCTGTCTATAGATGACTCCTAGGTTTCATCAGGTGGGCCATCAGCTTGTTTGCTTTTTTTATACCACAGAGGTAATAAACAAGCATACAGCCCACATGGTGGTAAACGTTTACTATATAGCCTATGAACGTCTTCATTACCTGGGGCATTACGTGCGCGTTTCTGGTCCTGAAGAAACTTCTTTATCTCTTTTTTCAAGAATCCCATTCTTTTATCTATTGGAAAAACCTTGATAGGGAACTCATTCCATAACCTGAACGTTCGTGGGAAGAAACATTTCTAAAATCGCTCTATTCACGACCATCTAAGCTCTTTTCATTCTGAGAACTCTAATACAACTAACTGTCACTCGGTTTACAGAAAAAGATCCGCGGCTACGACCTCCTGAACACGGTGTGCGACAAATTGAACCTGGTTGAGAAGGACTACTTCGGGCTGCTGTACGAGGACCGTGGCGATCCGCGCGTTTGGATCGACCTCGACAAGCGGGTGTCGAAACTGCTGAAACGTAAGCGTACTGTATCAGGATCCATTATGTTCTCTCAGTGGTGGTGTCACTAACAACTGGCTGGTAAACCTGGTTTGAATACTGATCTTACTACTGATGCCATGAAAATGGAATGTTGACATCGCCTTCGCTATCCGGTATACGCTGGTGGGTACCTGTAAGGGATGACAAGGATATAGGCAGGTCAGTTGGCTTGTCTTGTTGAATTTATCAGGTATTGACGATGATGCCGCCGGTGATTTGGACGACTGCAAATCGCGAGCCCCAGTCATCGGCACACGGCGCTGAGAGGAATACCGAGGTGGTTTTTAGTGGTAAAAATCCCACAGTACCCACCGTCACACCGCTGGCGGTGGGTCTCTTTATGGAGATTTTCCCCTCGGTAAAAAAAAAAAGGTATTGACGATGATGGTTTCCATCTTGTGTATAAGTGAACTTATCAGGGTGCATTTTTAGTAAAAGAGATGCTAGTTCCTGCCAACTAACAATCCCTTCACCTTATTGTTTTTTAGTGTTCTGACGAGTACCTATTAACTTGGGAGAAAGCATTTTTATTACCTAAAGGAGTATTGGCCGTGTGGTCCCGGCATAGAATAGGCCATCCCTTCCTTTCCCGTGCGTGTTATAAGACGCGACTAAGGGAACTTAATGGTCGAGGGAAGGACAGCAGCATACCTCTTAAAACATCTCTAAAGCCTAACTGCGGTTGCCAATCCCCCTGCCAAGTGTGGCAACTACTGGTAAAACCCCACAAGGGAGAGGCTCATGTTCAGCAGTTGGCAGTTAAAGTCTAATAGGACAACGATGATGGAAGGAATCTAGCACCCCTATTGCTAGTAGTTATTTCTTTCTTAAAGAAGGTATCCCTAACTCATAGATATTCTCGCGGCCCCCGTAAGAAACAATCGTGATTAATTCTTAGTAAATTCGCCACAATAAGCTAATTATCTTCCTCTTGACCTATCGTCTCTTACTAGTACAACGCCAGGGTATACCGATAGCTCAGGTAAAGTTACTATTACATTTTAAAAATATACTAATTATTTACTAACTAAAGACTAACATTTGCAAGTCGGATAAGATAGAATTTTGATTATATTGATGGTTTTTTTTAAGGGTGAAAATGGTATGGTAGCCCCGCCTGCGCTAACGGGATGCGCTGGCGGAGCACCAGTGAAGGGTGATAGATGAGAATGAAAACAGGCCAGTTAGCCCATCATGATGAATTCATCAGGAATTAACCATGGTAGTTTCCAGGGAGAACCGCGAGGAGGTCGACCTGGTTGGGTATATTGCTAGCAATGGGATTCTCAGTCTCCATTACTAACAATCTCTTTCCCCCCGATGTACTGTAGGATTTTGGGGTATAGCTACAGTAATGCGTGCGTACTGGTAGTGAATGTAATATCTGACAGAAGAGGCATAGAGAGTGCAACGCATGATGGGTATCATGGGTAAGCACAGTATACCTCATCATCTAATGGTTACAGGTTCAATCTCTGCATAGTATAAATAATTGTTTTCTAACTTAAACCGTTACACCGTCAAGAGTTTTAGATACAGCGGGTTATTTTAATGAGTCGTCCGATTCTACGTTTGCTTTTACATTAGACAGCCACTCTGGAACATTTCTTTTCCTTTGCTATTTATCACTTTGGAAATAAAATATAATATTAATAGAATGTTATGTTTTATAGGGGAGCCATGGGAAGTGAGGTTTGCAGTGAAATTCTACCCCCCTGAGCCAGCGCAGTTGCAGGAGGAGCTGACACGGTACCAGCTTGTTCTGGCCGTCAGGAAGGATTTGCTTGAAGGTAAATTTGATTACTGAACTTTTGACATCATATTACAAACTAGATATGCCCGCCCAGCTGGTCATGTCATCCTGTTTTAAAGAAAGTACCCCCCATATGTTGCCATTCCTGAGGACTCAGGTGTTATTCCGCTGTACTCTATAAATTCACGCCCAATTATACCACCCTTCAAACCGAAACAGCCATGAAAACACAATTGCTTTACGGTCGAAACACGAATGGGGCAGAGGTATCCAAGCAAACGACTTTTGTACAAAGTCTTCCTCTGGTGATATTTATAAAATTAGTGAAGTCGTTTACTATTTAGAGGTTCATATGATTGCCAGGTCGACTGCCATGTTCGACCGTCACGCACGCGCTGCTCGCCAGCTACCTGCTGCAGTCCGAGCTTGGAGACTACGAGGAATCGGAAGCGGCCGCGGGACACTGCAAGCAGTTGAAACTGGTCCCGCCGTCCGCCTGCACGCCGGAACTCGAGGAGAAGGTCGCAGAGTTGCACAAGACACACAGGTGGGCAAATGGGAACCGTTGGTGTATTGTCTTTTGCGAATGACTTTTAGAAAGTGGGAGGTTGTCGTTTGGAATCGTTTTTGTTCGTCAGTCTTGCGGTTTTTTAGGAAGAAGAGTTTACGTTATAGTTGATCTTACGTCTATTTTCTCAAGGTTAAAAGTTACTCTTTTATGTAACCAAATTTTAAATTATATATTACATGGAACGCAAACGAACATATGTGATCTGCTTAATTTTTTTTTCTATAACATGATATATAGATTAACACTTTGAGTTATTTATGACACGTAGATTAATAAATGAATCCATACAATCGAATTACATTTTTTTACATACATACATACATATCTGTCACGCCTGTTTCCCATTAGAGTAGACAGAAACAATGGAACGCCAAATGCTTCGATTCAAACAAACCTCTTTCGCTTCTTCCACATTCATAAATCTTTTCATACACGCTCGCCGGTTACGGGTACTTTTAATTTGGCCCTTCTTCAGCACGTCGTCTATTTGGTCAACATACGTCCGTCTAGGTCGGCCCCTACCGACATCTCCATTCATTCTTGCTCCATAAATCTCTTTCGTAATTCTTCTTTCATCCATCCTTTCCAAATGACCAAACCAACGCAACATTTCTTTTTCGATTTTTTTTTTAATATAAAACTAAAGATAAAGTACAAAAATATGTTTTCACCATGTGTGTCGCAGTGACCCAAATAGGCTACAGCTCAGTGATAGTTTTGTTTAAAAGCAAAACACTGATTTTCGGCTTGAAGTTCGGCTACATGGAATGGCCAATAAGCTGACAGTCCATAGAAAATAGTAACCATTGCCTATAGCTAAGAACAACAGCATCTACTTATGCGTTGCAATTTCTGAGAACTAAGATGTTATTAATGCCTCCGTATCCTGTAACTTCACTGCTATATTCCACCTTTCAAATAGAAACAGTCGAGTAAACACAACTACTTAGCGGTAGAGACAAGAGTGGGATAAAGGTACCCACCCAAGGTGACGCATTTAATACCAAGTCTGTTTCTAGTAAAAATATTAAGTGGCCTAGTAACACTGGAGACAGAGATATTTATTTATTTAACTCTTTATTGCACCAATGACATATAAACAATTCATGTGAAATACAGTAGCTTAAAGTACAGATTAAAATATATCATTACAGTTCTTCTTACGTTACTAACTCGTATGACGTGATGTTCTTGAGACACTACCTAAAACTGTCACTTTTCGAATAAATGAATGCTAGATTGTCCCTCTATTGTATTAATAAACAAAAAATATTACTCACTAGGCAGGGGCTAAAGTACTTGAAATTTACAATTCATAAATAATTGACAGAGGCCAAACACCAGCGGAAGCGGAGCTGAATTACCTGGAGAACGCCAAGAAACTGGCCATGTACGGTGTGGACCTCCACCCGGCCAAGGACTCCGAGAATGTGGACATCACGCTCGGTGTCTGCTCCTCCGGTTTACTGGTGCACAGAGAGAAGTAAGTGTAAGGCTTTAGCCTAGAGCTCTTATCTACAACTGACCTTGACAAATTACGAATGGCAGTATTGCCATATTTTCTCAGTATACTGATCATAAATTGTTTATTTAATTCTTATTGTAGTGAGGATTTAATTACGTCAGTTGGTGATAAAGTCACCAGGAATTAAATAAAGTGCTTTACAGGGGATCGCATGGAGATCAGCCGGATAGATAAAATTATTGGCAATGTGCATGACTACATTATTAACAATCCTCACCAGGAGATTGGCTAATCTTTATAGATGAGAGAGACAGAGAGATGCATCGGGTCTTAAAACAATTTTTCTGAAATTAGAGTATAAGAATGTTATTTACAAAGTTTATATATATATTTCTTGACATATATTTTGTCCTAAATCCTCAATGACAAACTAATGGCCGAAGTACAGTTAGCTGGAGTTTAAAGCCCCAGGTAGAAAAACCAGCGAACTGTACAAGTAGTGTCAAGGAGCTTCGCCTTCTGCATCTTTCTCTTAAGAGAGTTTCCCCAGAATCTCAATAGTCTGAAGTGTTGCTCCAAACAGTTCGTATTATATCTTGTTATACGTTTAGATTACGCATCAACCGCTTCGCGTGGCCGAAGATCCTGAAGATCAGCTACAAGCGGCACAACTTCTACGTGAAACTCCGACCAGGCGAGTTCGAGCAGTTCGAGTCGACGGTCGGCTTCAAGCTGGCCAACCACCGCGCCGCCAAAAAGCTGTGGAAGACTTGCGTCGAACACCACACCTTCTTCAGGTATAGTTATTGGCATCTATCGAAGTTGATCTGGGAAAGTTCGTAACAGTTTTACTCGATGGTTGTGTTTAAAATAGCGTAGAAGCTGTTTTGGATTTCTCATAGCATGATAGATATAGTTAGTAAGGTTTTGAGTTTTGCTTAGGTAAATTTGAACAAAAATTTTGTAGATTATGACGACCACATAAATTTTAATCACGATCTATGATTGCGTTGAATACCACACGTTCTTTGGGAACAGTCGATCGGGTTCTACAGAAGAACATTCGCCACTCAGTGTTTTTGAAGAATGTTCTCTTCTCCTTCGGAGTTTGGCGTTAAGAGTTAGTTGGGGAACGAGTCTGGTTAAGATCAATGTAAGGGCTATTTTTTAAATCGATTATAACGAAGTTTGTTGCAGTTATATGTAAATTTTCAAAAATAATTGCATATTATTATAATATTGTTTCTGATTAATTATTTAAAAAGCGTTCTGCTAGCGAACTGTTGGGAATTGTTTTTGACACATCATTGTGACGTTGGCTTGTTTTGGGAAGCAGAAGTTTTTTTAGTAGGTGACGATGGAAAGGTTACTTCGTCTGCATTATCGGTATACGCTGGTGGGACACCAGTAAGAGATAATAGGTGAGAATGACAGCAAATCACTAGTCCATCGTGATAAATTCAAGAATTTTTCAAGAAATAGACATGGGAATTAGGATATCGATTTGATATCTACATATTGGGTTGCTCTGGGTATTGATGGCGGAAAATGGATCATCGTCCATTTTGATATTACATTTACTGATCGATAATCTTTCGAATATGTTAAAAGTCTGTTATCCAATATTATTTATGGATAATAGACTTAACATATTTGTTATTGGATTAGTACATAGATATTTTAATTAAAATGGTATAGATATTGTTTATATATTACTCACTCCTACTATACAATTTTCCGGGGCGAATCGCATCAAGGACGACTTGATTGTTAGCAATGACGATGCTAGACTCCATTTCTTGTTAATAATGGGGAAAGAATTTTTTTTATATATGATAATCTATTACCACTCCAGGTAATAGAGGACCTTTTAGGTGGCCGTATACGCTGGCGAAGCATCAGAGAGAGATAATAGATGAGAATGAAAAGGCAAGTCAGTTAGCCCATCGTGATGAATACACCTGGGATTCAGCAACAAAGCAAACACCTGAATTCAATGTGACTGGTAGTTTGCATTTTTTTTAATAAGTGATAATGGTATAGTAACTCAGCCCACGCTATTGGTATACGCTGGTGGGTCACCAGTGAGGGATGATAAGTGACGATGAAAGCAGGTTTCCAGGGGGAACTGCGTGCAGGTCGACCTGCCAGTGTGTATTGTTAGCAGTGGTTCAGTTAGATCCCATTGCTGACAATCTCTTGCGCCCCGGTGGTGTGTATTGCTGACGTTTCCTTCCCCCGGTGTGTTCGCTGGCATGACATGTGTGGTGGTGATGCGGGCGGTGTGTCGGCAGGCTGACGTCGCCGGAGCCGGCGGCGCGCGGCGCGCTGTTCCCGCGGCTGGGCTCGCGGTTCCGGTACAGCGGCCGCACGCACTACGAGTCACGCGCCGCGCCGCCGCAGCGCGCGCCGCCGCACTTCGCGCGCACGCTCTCGCACAGGAAGATCTCCTCGCGCAGCATGGACGGTAACGCGCGCACACGCACGCACGCACGCACACGCGCGCGCACGTCAACACACGCACACACCAACATACGCACACACACGAACATGCATGTACACGCACATACACACACGCACTCACGCACACACACTCACGCACACGCGCGCGCCCACACACACACGCACACACGCACACACACGCGCGCGCACACACACACACACGAACATGCACACACACGATACACACACGCACATACACACACACACTCACGCACACACACACACAAACACGCACGCACACACACGCACGCACACAGACACACAAGCGCGACCACGCACATCTACGTACAATATATCTAACCACAAAACTGTGCTCCGACTAACCACAACAGGCCATCTAGACAAGTGACAAACGAATTCAATACTATACAGATGTTAATTGCTTCTGTAGTTGTGAGAGGCGTAGATTGCGACATTTTTGTATGAGATGTCACAGGTGTGTTAATATTATAAATGTGAAAGTGAGTTTTCTTTGTTTGTTACCTTATAGCGCCTTAACAGCTTAATCGATCACTGTAAAGTTTGCTATATACGTACTAAATAGGATGTAGAAGAAACTACTTGAAATTTAGTTTAAAAATTTTCATGTACGAGTACAACGTTACTGTATCACCATGTAACTTGGTGACTCTACCTATAATATACATACAAGGCATTTTTCAATATTCACAACTTACTATTATTTACTTGTTTACTATCCAATTGGCTAAAATCTCTTTCTATATTAAGATACATACAGTGAGTGTAGAAAGTATTCGTACACCTAGGGTTGTAATAAAAAAAATACGAATTTGATAGACTTTCTTTTATTTATCTAATTTAAATCAATACTATTAAATATTTTAACATTCCCGCACTTTGTTTATGATATTTTTTGTTTTTTAATAAAAAAAATTATACAACATAAAAATATTTTTACGTTAACTAAGTAAATAATGACAAACAAAAAGTATTCGTACACTTATAAAATTTGTAAGTAAATGAATATTAAAAAAATATTAATACTTTGTTGGACCACCGTTAGCATTGATGATAGATTGGAGTCTCTGCGGCATCGAATCAACTAGTTTGAAAATATAAGAAGACGGTATCAATGCCCATTCTTCGCGAAGCGCAATTTTTAGTGTTTCTTTACTCGAAATTGGTCGATTTCGAATTTTTTTATCGAGATAATCCCACACATGCTCTATAATATTAATATCAGGTGATTGAGGAGGAATCTCTAGGTATTTTGGAGCGTTAAACAGGATCCATGCTTTAGTATTCCATGCTTTATGTTTAGGGTCATTATCTTGTAAAAATATCCAATTATTGTTAAAACCCATTTGAGCTGCACTAGAGAGACGATTCTCTTTTAAAATATTAATATACGCTTTGTGATCCCTAATTCCATCAATAAATGCAAGTTTTCCCACCCCAAAAACACTCATGCAACCCCATACAAATACTGACCCACCACCGTGTTTTACCGTTGGACATAAATTTTCTTTCTTATATTCCATATTAGGTTTTCTCCATACCATATGATGTCCATCCGATTTGAAAATATTATATTTCGATTCATCTGAGTAAATAACAGTTTGCCAAAAATGATTTTTTTCATTAATATATTTTTTTGCGAATTCTAATCTTTTTTTCTATTAATATCATTTACCCAATACTTTTTACGCGCAGTTCTTCCATGATAATCGTTACTACGTAATACGTTCCGAACGGTACTGACAGAAATATGGCAATCATTGATATTATTAATTTCTTGTAACACTCGAGGGGCACTAATTTTTGGATTTTTTTTTACACAATTTAAAATTTTCCGATCCAATCGAGGCGTGATTTTTGATGGACGCCCCACCTCTGGGTTTGTTTTTTAGTGTTTTAGTAATAGAAAACCGATCAATTACAGTCTGTACGGTTGAACGTGGTCTATTGACAAATTTTGCAATTTCACATAATGATTTGCATTGATTATGCAAATTAATAATTATTTTTCTCTCCTCTTCACTCGTTTCTTTTGCTTTACGACCCATTTTTGTAACTAAACACGTCTATACTTGTCACGAGTGCAACTAAAACGTCTAATATCTATACCTACGTATTAAAAAAGACCTTGGCATTGTAGGCATATGAAAAATTCGATTGAATAAATGATTTATACAGAATTTCATTTAAAAAAAAATGAATGTACGAATACTTTTTGTTTGTCATTATTTGCTTAGTTAACGTAAAAATATTATTATGTTGTATAATTTTTTTTTTAAAAACAAAAATTATCATAAACAAAGTGCGGGAATGTTAAACTATTTAACAGTATTGATTTAAATTAAATAAATAGAGGACAGTCTATCAAATTCGTATTTTTTTTATTATAACCCTAGGTGTACGAATACTTTTTACACTCACTGTAGTTTATTTTAAAGCGGTCATTTGACCGCTCATGGTGGGATTTTTTTTAATGGGTGATAGTGGAATGGTAACCCCACCCGCGCTATCAGTATACGCCGGCGGGGCACCAGTGAAGAATGATAGTTGAGGATGAAGCAGGTCAGTTAACCCATCGTGACGAATTCAACAAGAATTATTCAAGATGGTTTCAGGGGGAACCGCGTGGAGGTCGACCTAATAGGGCATTTGCTATCAATGGGGCTGTCAAACTCCATTGCTAACAATCCCTTTCTCTCTGGGCTCATGGTGAGATTAGGTATATATGAAATGTCGGTAGATTTAGTGTTAAACTTTAATGCACAATAATATTCTATGTACATTTGGCGGACTTAACACCGGACGGTATTCTCTACCAGTCAACCATTGGGCGAACAGAGAAATATGTAGGCGGTGCATTATTGAATAGAGGGAAAATAAAGCAATACTTGATATATTCATATATCTATCTATACTTATAATAAATCTCTAGAGAGGTCAACTCTGTACATGAAATATATTTCCAAAATAACTATCAGCGGGTGATTAGTGATCGATACTGATGCCAAAAATGCAATCAGTAAAATTTTTGTCTTTCTGTCTGTATGTTCGTTAGAAACAAAAACTATTAGACGGATTTTAACGAAACTTGGTACAATTATTCTTCATACTCCTGGCCAGGTTATAGTATACTTTTCATCACGCCACGATCGATAGGAGCGGAGCAGTGAAGGGAAATGTTGGGTAAACGGGAGAAGTTACTCCATTTTTAAGCTTCCGTCGCGTGTGCAGCCTTAATGGCCACTTTTTAAAATGTAAAAATGTCCACCCGCGCGACGCCGGGACGTGCCGCTAGTATACTATAAAGATATAATTAGACAAATATAAACATATAATATATTATCATAATATCTGTAGTAGCAACACCGCGTACCAAGTATGACTAATATGTTTCAATGTATGCGCTTATTTACTTTAAATATGATCAGTTATTTTCTCAGTACGCGTTACGCATATGTTTGTATGAAGTCATCGATATTCATACTGTAACCAAGGATAGATAGATAGATACTCTTTATTGTTTCCTTCAAAAGATTACAATAGTAAACTTATTATAAATACCAACAATTATAAGGAATGATCACAGTGAGGAAACAATGGGCGACCTTATCGCTAAGAGCGATCTCTTGCAGGCAACATTTGGATGGAGAGGAGTAATTATAAACAATTACATACATTTAGTACAGTATGTAATTATATATCTACTAGTCGTGTACCGTGGATTTGTCTGTGTGAAGTCGAATAAATAGTAGCCTATATGTTGAACTTATGGTCGAGGGATGGGCCCTTACTGTGCTTGCCAATCCGTCTGCCAAGCGTGGTAACTGCTAGCAAACCTCCCCGATTATGGAGGAGACTTATGTTCAGCCAATTAATGGCCGATATGGTATGTTAATTTGTGATCTATTAATGTACCAAATAAACAATCGGGATCTTCATTCAGTCATTGGGGTCTAATCTGAGGCGTTATTTCTCTAACCCTGTCTCTATTATTAGTTTCAATTTGATTGAGTTGTTAAACCTTATTACTAATAATTCCTCTCCCCTCCCCCCACCCCCCACGCGCACCACTTAGCTCGTCACACAAGTTTTTTATATCAGTTCAGATTAGAACTCATGACCTTTGCGGTCTGTAAGTCGATTGGAATACCACTGGACCGACTCTATTTAAAAATGCAGTGAACGCTCCATATACAAGCAACTCATTTGAACCATTTTCAATAAAAAAGTTTCTTATTGGGAAAAGTTGCTTATATGGGAAAAAGGAGTATAAAAATAGGTACTTACCGTCTGGAAAATATTTTTACTTATTTCTTTTACTAAGCTGAGTAGAATATCTCACCAGAGGGAGACTTTGTACAAAAGTCGATTGCTTAGATACCTCTGTTCCATTCGTGTTTCTACCGTGAAGCAGTTGTGTTTGCATGGCTGTGTTTCGGTTTGAAGGGTGGGATATGGCATGAATTTACTGGGTACAGAGGAATAACACCTGAGTCCTTGGGAATGGCAACGCATTGGGGGGTATCATGGGCGAAACAGTATACTCTGTTATGTCCACGGTCCTACTCATGTCTATAGGCGACGGTTACCACTTTCCATCAGGTGGGCCGGTCAGTTTGTTTGCCATTCTAAGTTGTATAAAAAAAAAAAGAATAAATAAAATATAAAAAATGAAGCTTGAAGGTTGTTTTTATAGAGCGTTCATTGTAATAATCATGCTACGGTAGAAAAGTAAAATTTATCAGAAATAATCAAACAAATCACCTCTGCGAATAGACAGTCGCGTCAAGGTGATAAAGATGTGTTTCCAAGAACAAATTACCGCGGCTCGGTTGAAAGAGTCGTCCGTTGCATGACACGGTGTTTATAGCTTGCAATCAGCTGATCACACTCACACGTGCACTATAAATATACGTGACGTTTGTGTGAGACTCTTGTGACGTGTCGCGTCTTGTTTTTTTTAATGAGTGATAATGGAATGGTAAC